CTGTCCCCTCTCCAGGCCATCGTGTGGGACGAGTACCTGACCGGGCCCTTCGGGCTGATCGCGCAGTACTCGCTGCTCAAGGTAAGCGCCGGGCGGGTCGGGGGAGGCTCCCAGCCCTGCCCCGGCCGCGCCGCTCTCGGGTGACGCCCGTGCCCCCGCACAGGAGCATGAGGTGGAGAAGATGTTCACGCTCAAGCCGGGTCGGCTGCCCCCGGCCGATGTCAAGAACATCATCTTCTTCGTCAGGCCCAAGCTGGAGCTGATGGACATCATCACCGACAACGTGCTCAGGTACCGCGGGCAGGGGAGGGCGGCCAGGGGTGGTCTGAACCACGTGCAGCACAGCCACTCCGGGGGGGGGGTTGAGTGGGGAGAGAGAGGGGCTTCTCTTTGGCTGCCATGCAGAGGATCTGTTCCTCCTTATGAGGATATATGTTCTTTCTAATTAGCTGGAACGAGTCGTGCTTGGATTGATGCTCATTTTGGGAACTGCAGGATAACCAAGTCCCCTTGCCCTGGTGCCAGACCTGTGCCTGCACTCGGCTGGGTTGTGCATCCTGGACACTCTAACATGCAAAGCTGGGAGTTGGCAATAATAACCCAGTGCAGTGCTCCTGCTGTGGCTCTTCCAGGGAGGATAGAGGCCGCTCTCCCCAGAGGGATTTCCACATCCTGTTCGTGCCACGCCGCAGTCTCCTGTGCGAGCAGTGGCTGAAGGAGCAGGGTGTGCTGGGCTCCTTCATCCACCGCGAGCAGTACAGCCTGGACCTCATCCCCTTCGACGGGGACCTGCTCTCCATGGAGTCTGAGAGCGCCTTCAAGGTGAGCGCTTTGAGGGAAAACCCTCTGTGGTTTTGGGTTGGCTCTCTTGCTCCATCAAACTGGATTTGTGTGTGGAGTTCAGAAATACTGTAGTGTCTGGTCCAGTCAAATGATTTGCTGTAGCAATGGCACAAATAATAAGGTCCAACAGCCACAGTTTTTTCCCAGCCTGTGTCTTGTCTGAACTGTTCATATAAACCTCACACTGCTGTGGAAGCAGCTGTGTTGGATCAACACCTCTTAGCAGAATCCTTCTTGTTCTTTAGGAATGTTACCTGGAGAGTGACCAGACCAGTCTGTACCATGCAGCAAAGGGGCTGATGACACTGCAGGCTCTCTACGGAACCATCCCACAGATTTTTGGGAAGGGCGACTGTGCTCGGGTGAGGATGAAAAAATGCATCTTGTTCTTTGGAACTGCCTTAAGGGTTGTTTGATTAAATGCACTTCTGGGTGTTTTTTAATCCAGCCATGACACTCACTTGTCCTTTTCCTTCTCTCCGATCAACCTATGGTTTAATTGGTACCTTTTGTGGTGAGAGAACAGCTTGAGGTGAAGGCAGTGCTGTGGCCAGTTGCTGTCTCGCTAAGTTGCAGAGAGCAGAAGAGAAGGACTTTGTTTTCTCTGTGTCATCCTGCCCTGTCCATCAGCCAGTCTGTACCTCTGGCCATTCTCTTCCTTTTTACCCAGGGCTGCGCCCACGCTTGCACGAGCATGTGCTTGCAGGGCTCAGAGCTCAAATCCATCTGCTGTGGCCTGGACTGTAACCAGCCTGACGTGATTTCCTTTCAGCACGTGGCCAACATGATGATCAGGATGAAGCGTGAGTTCCCTGGGAGCCAGAACTCCATATTTCCCGTCTTTGATACCCTCTTGTTGCTGGACCGCAACGTCGACCTGCTGACGCCGCTGGCCACGCAGCTGACGTACGAGGGGCTGATAGATGAGATCTATGGCATCCAGAACAGTGAGTTTTGTGGGGAAGGGGGGTTTCCCGTGCCCTGGGGGAAGTTTCCCATGTCCTGGGGGAGGTTTCCCGTGTGCTGGAGCCGGTTGCAGTGTGTCACAGTGGTTTCTGCTTCACTGAATGGCTGGAGGGTGGGAGCAGCTCAGCTGAAGTGAGTGCAGGTTGATTCAGTCCCAGGCCGGAGCCCATCAAGATCCACTCTGGCTCTTTTTGGATGGGAAGGAGAGCTGAACAGTGTGTGGTTATTGAATGGGCATATTTTGGATGCTGGGTGGGTGCAGCCACAGAACACATGGTGTACAAGTAGAAATAGTGTGTGCCTTCACCCTCCAGCCTGGCTGGATCATGTGTCACACTGAGGGGACAGGGACAGTTTTGGGGGGCCATTCAGAGTGTACTCCTTCTCTTCAGGAGGTAGTAAGAAAACTCCAGAGAGGCCTTTATGGGCTCTAATTTCTACTGCTGGACTGGACTGGCTGCAGGGCTCATCCAAGCCTCTCTGAAAGCAGCTGGCACTTGGGTTCTGATCACGTGTGTTTGTGTAGGTCCCTGGGTGAGTGCAGTGAGACTCTCCTTAATTAACACCTAAGCACTGAGGGGTCTGGGTGTTTATATTTGCTCTGCTGCTCAGAGCTGTTTCCAGCCCAGGGGACATGTTCCCACAGCCTTCTAATCATTACTTCTGGTGGTGAAGTTCCAGTCCTTTAAGGGTGGTTTCTCTGCATTTGGTAGCTTATGTGAAACTCCCTCCTGAGAAGTTTGCCCCGAAGAAGCAGGGTGAGGGTGGGAAGGATCTCCCCACGGAACCCAAGAAGCTGCAGCTGAACTCTGCAGAGGAGCTGTACGCCGAGATCCGCGACAAGAACTTCAATGCCGTGGGGTCAGTGCTCAGCAAGAAAGCCAAGATCATCTCAGCAGCCTTTGAGGTGAGGCCTGGGTCCAACAGTGCATCCCTTGAGTGTACTTGTCATCAGCTAAGTCAGTCTGCCCTCAACAGGGCAGTGACTGGCAGCTCGAGCTGCTGCCACAGAGTAATGCCCCAGGCAGAGAAAAAACAGATAGTCTTGAGAAGCCACTCCAGTCTGTTCCCCTGCCCTGGGGTGAGATCAGCTCCACTCAGACTGGAAGGTGTTGGTCAAATCTCCTTTGAAGAATCCTGTAGTAATGTGGATCCTCCTCTTCTCCCCACACTTCTGTTCTGGGGTTTTGCTTCTCCTCAGAGCTTCTGCCATGTGAGCCCATAGTTTCCACAACAGGAATTGCATCCCTTGATCTGCAGGACAGTCAGGTGCTGCTTCCCTCTGCAAGAGGCCAAAGTTCAGTTTTAGTGTGCTGTTCAGTTCCACTTTGCTGCTCTTGTTCACTGAAAGGTCCTTTTCCCTTTGTATTCGCTGAGGATGCAGAGGAAAGGCTTTAAGCAATAAAACTCCAGAACAGCTTGGCTGGCATAAAAAACAAATAGGAATGTGGAAAAGACAGTTGCCTTGCAGAAGTTTTAACCTGTAAATTCATGCTCATGTGTCGCCTTAGACAGAGCTGGAAAGTTGGGGGGGGCATGTTTGTGGTTTTGTTTGAAAACATCCTGTTGATGATTCATAAAGAAACTGAGATCTCGGCTTTCAGACTTCATGGGGATTCTCAAGAGAACTCATTATACTCTTTGATTGTATTTCCTTTATGTTTTTTTAGTCCCTTCACCTCTGCCACATCAAAGATGAGGTAGCTGTACCTTAACTGAAATACTGAGTGCTCAGCCTCCTCTCCTAGTATATGTTTGCTTCTGCAGTACCGGTGCTGGAGGAGCTAAAGCTGGATTATTCCTACTGGCTGTTAACAAAAAGAGAATTTTAACAAATTGTCAGTGGTAATAGGTGATAATGAAACAGCAGCATATTGGCAGCAGAGGACTTCTTAGATTGCAGGCTCCATCATTATCACTGTCCTGCCTGCACTTGCCCGTTTAAATCCTTCACATCCGAGTCAAATTAGTATTATTTTTATTCCAAGTTGCAGCAAGAGGCAAGTGACCCAAATGCAGTGCAGACCTCTGGACTGCTCTGAGAGCTGAACTCTGCA